AAAAAAAAAAAAAAAGGCATCCATATTAGAAAGGAAGAAGTTAAATGGTTTCTGTTTGCAGACAATATAGAAAACCCTAAAAACTCCAACAAAAAACTGTAACAACTAATAAATTCAGGAAAGTTCCATGATACAAAATCAACATATAAAAGTCAGCAATGTTTCTAATACACTAACTATAAACTATCCAAAAATATCAAAAAAGCAATCCCATTAATAATAGCTACCAGGGCTGGGTGTAGTGGCTCATGCCTGTACTCCTGGCTCTTTGGGAGGCTGAGGCAGGTGGATCACTTGAGGCCAACAGTTTGAGACCAGCCTGGCCAACGTGGTGAAATCCCATCTTTATTAAAAATACAAAAATTAGTTGGATGTGGTGGTGTGCACCTGTAATCCCAGCTGCTCAGGAGGCTGAGCCATGAGAATCACCTGAACCCAGGAGGCAAAGGTTGCAGTGAGCCAAGATCATGTCACTACACTCCAGACAGAGTAAGATTGTCTCAAGACAATAATAATAATAATGATAGCCACCAAAAAAACAAAATACTTAGGAATAAATTTAACCACAGAGGTGAAATATCTGTATGCGGAAAACTACAAAACATGATGAAAAAAATTTAAGAAGACACAAATAAATGGAAAGATATTCCGTTTCATGGACTGGCAGAATTAGTATTGTTAAAATGACCACACTACCCAAAGAGATCTACAGATTCAGTACAATCCCTATCAGAATTCCAATGACATTTTCTCACAGAAATATAAAAAAAAAATCAAAAAATTCATATGAACCACAAAAACCGCAAATATCCAAAGCAATCTTAGGCAAAAAGAACAAACCTAGAGGTATCATACTACCTGATTTCAAAATATACTGTAAGTTATGGTAATCACAATGGCATGGTACCAGTATAAAAACAAACACACAGACCAATGAAAGAGAATAGAGAGCCCAGAATGAAGCAGAATAGAGAGCCCAGAAATAAATCCATGAATTTACAGTCAACTGATTTTTTACAAAAGTGAAATGGAGAAAGAATAGTCTCTTCATTAAATGGTGATGGGAAAACTGGTCTTCCAAATGCCAGAAGAACGAAATTAGACCATTACTTCACACCATATTTTTTTTTTTAAAAAGTCAACTCAATAGGTAAGAAAAACTAACACTTGAAACTATAAAACTATTACAAGAAAATTTAGGGGAAAAGCCTCATGATATTGGTCTGGGCGGTGCTGTTTTTAGATACGACCCCAGTGGCATAGGCAAAAGCAAAAATAGACAAATGGAATTGTAATAAACTAAAAAGCTCAGCACTACAATCAACAGAGTGAAGAGACAACCTATGGAATAGGAGAGAATATTTGTGGCCATACATCTCATAAGGTATTAATTCAAAATATATAAGGAACTCAAATAACTCAATAACAAGAACACAAATAACCTGTTTTTAAAATGAGCAAAATACCAGAATAGACAGTTCTCAAAAGAGGATATATAAATGACCTACAGGTACATGAAAAGTTGCTCAACATCACTAATCATCAGAGAAATTGAAATTAAAAGCACAGTGAGATATCACCTCACACTTGTTAGAACGGCTATTATCAAAAAGATGAACAATAAGTATTGGCGAGGAACCTGAGGAAAGGAAACTCTTATTCACTGTTCAGTGGGAATGTACACTAGTAAATCTATTATTGAAAACAGTATGGAAGCTCTTCAAAAAATTAAGAATAGAACTACCATATGATCTAGTAATAACACTACTGGGTACGTATCCAAAGGAAATGAAATCAGTATGTCTAGGAGATATCTGTACTCCCATGTTCACCGTAGCATTATTCACAATGGCCAAGATATGGGATCAAGGTAAGAGTCCATCAACAGATGAATAAATAAAGAAAATGTGGTACGTATACACACTAGGATACCACTCAGCCTTAAAGAAGAAATTCTGTCATTGCAACAATACGGCGAACCTTTAGGATATTCTCTTAAGTGAAATAAGCCAGATACAGAAAGACAAATACCACATGATCTTATATGTGGAACCTAAAAATAGTCAAACTCATAGCAGCAGAGAGAAGAATGGGTTACCAGAGGATAGGAGAAAGGTGCGGGGAGAGGGTTGCAGGATTAGGGAAATGCTGGTGAAAAGGATATGAAATTTCAGTTAAACAGGAGGAATGAGTTCAAGACATCTATTGTACCACATGGTAACTATTGCTAAGGATAATTTACTACATATGTGAAAACTGCTAAGATTTTAGCATACTCACCACAAATGAATGGTATGAATGTGAAATAATACATATGCTAATAAGTTTGATTTTACCATTTCACAATGTATACACATTTCAAAACATCCTCTGTACATCATAAATATATGCAATTTTATTGTCAAATTTAAAATAATAATAACGAATTTTAAATTACTGCAAAAAAACTTACAAAAATAAATAAAGACACAAGTTGCATTTAAAATAAAAGTTGACATACCTTGGCTTCCGAAACACCAAACTATATTGTTGGCAAGCCAGACCCACAGTGGGAGTATAAACAATAGGCATGAATTTCTCAACGTCAGACGTTAGCACTTTATAAAAGAGTTTTTCATTTCTATCTTGGAGATCCATTAAGAGAAGATACCTGTAAAAATTGGACATAATTAGATCTACATCCCATAAAGTCATGAAATAGCTACTTAGAAATCTAACTAAATATTTTCAACCAAGTATAAAGTACATTTAGGTTACATAGAAAACATCTGATTAAAAAAGACTTAAGAAACATTATTTTCTTTTTCTTTAAGACAGAGTCTCGGCCAGGCTCAGTGGCTCATGCCTGTAATCCCAGCACCCTGGGAGGTCGAGGTGGGTGGATAACGAAGTCAGGAGTTCAAGACCAGCCTGGCCAACATGGTGAAGCCTCGTCTGTCTCTACTAAAAATACAAAAATGACTGGGCATGGTGGCTCATGCCCGTAATCCCAGCACTTTGGGAGGCAGAGGCGGGTCGATAACGAGGTCAGGAGTTCAAGACCAGCCTAGCGAACATGGGTATCTCCTGTGTAGCTAGGATTACAAGCGCGCCACCACACACGGCTGATTTTTTTTTTTTTTTTGAGACAGAGTCTCGCTCTGTCACCCGGGCTGGAGCGCAGTGGCACGATCTCGGCTCACTGCAACCTCTGTCTCCCTGGTTCAAGCATTTTCTCCTGCCTCAGCCTCCCAAGTAGCTGGGACTACAGGCACACACCACCAAGCCCGGCTAATTTTTTTTGTATTTTTAGTAGACACAGGGTTTCAACATGTTGGCCAGGCTGGTCTTGAACTCCTGACCTCAAGTGCTCTGCCTGCCTCGGCCTCCCAAACTGCTAGGATTACAGGCGTGAGTTACCACGCCCAGACAAGAAATATTCTTAAATATCGCAAAGAATAAAGAACCATAAACTTAATTAAAATCATGTAAACATTAAAATCATGGCTGAAATCGCACAGTTTTATTTAATACTTGAAGAGACTTTATCCCTATTTTAAAAGAGATGAAACTATCACTGTAGATTTAGTTTAATATTAACTAAGTTAATAGAAAGATTTCATCCTTTGACTTGCACTATTGAATAACCAAGGGAAATGACATACAGGAAATGAGAGAATGTAACACTCATCCTAAAAATAACTAAGGTAGGGAAGTTCAAGAAACTTTGTATCTGTGTCTTATGGCCTTTTTCTTTCTAGAGGCATTTCTGACCCAGAGTTATCTTTGTAAATATAAACCTTTTCATGTTATCTGTAACCTTCAATAGTTTGTAGAATAAAACTTAAACTGCTCAGTTCAACTTAAAAGAATCTTGCAAAACTACTCAACAATCTTACCAGCCTTTTTGAATTGACTTTCATTCCCTAGAATAGTTGAAAATGCACAGAATTCTGAGTAAGAGATGCATGGATTCTAATGTTTGGGCAATTAGATAGACATAACTAAGAAAGTAAACATATGGAAGACAAAGAGTTTAACTTTAGACATGATAAAATTAATTCGGCAATGTGGAAATTACCAATGCTAAATCAATGGTCCATTCTCAGACCTCACCCTACCTATCAGAACATTTGACACAAGAGATATTCCTTAGGGCTCAATACACTTTCTTTCCTTGACTTCTAATCTGTCATATTCTCAAGGTTTTCCTCCTATCTCTCTGGTCATTCCTTTTCTGTTTCCTTGCTGTTTTCTCCTTGATATGGTTTGGGTGTTTGTCACTTCCAAATCTCATCTTAAAATGTAATCCCCAGTGTTGGAGGTGGGTCCTAGTGGGTATTTGCATCATAGGGGTGGGTCTCTCATGAATGGCTTAGCACCAATCCCTTGGTGATGAGTTCTTGCTCTGAGTTGATGTGAGATTTGGTTGGCACTTCCCTCCTATCTTGCTCCTGTTTCCACCGTGATTGTAAGCTTCCTGAGGCCCCACCCAGGCATCACATAATTGGTGCCATGTTTGTACAACCTGCTGAGCCATGAGCCAATTAAACCTCCTTTCTTTATAAATTACCCAGCCTCAGGTATTTCTTTATAGCAATGCAAGAACAGACTAACACACTCCTCTTCTCTGAAAGCTTTCTAACACTCATGTGAAATATATGAAGAAATTGTGTTGGCTTTACTTTCAAAATATATCCAAAATCTGACTACCCTCATTGCTACCACCCTAGATCTAAATCACCATAATCTCTTGCCTGGATTATTATAATGGTCTCCTAAAAGCTGTCCCAGCCTACATTCTATTCTCAACATTGCAGCCAGTCTTTCTGAAATTATAGCTTAGATCATGTGCCTCTTCTGGTCAAAAACCTCAAAAGCCTACCCTTTTCACTCACAGTATAGCACAAGTCTTTAGTAGACTACAAAGGCATACCTAATCCATCGCCCATCACCTCGTTAACTTCCTTTCCCAATTTACCATTCTTTCCCTAGCTCATTCTGCTCTAGACACAAGTCTCCCTGCTAATTCTTGAACATGCCAGCTACAAAACGCTGTTCCTCAGATTTCTTCATGGCTAACTGCTCTACCACCTCTGATTATTTGCTCAAAACTCACCTTCTCAATAGAGGCTACCCTTATCACCCAACTCAACAATGCAAACTGGCCATACCTACCCTCAGCATTCTCAGCTCTTCTTACCCTCCTCTACCTTTACTTCCCCCACTCTACCTTTACTTCCCCCATCCCAAGACACTAGCCATTTTCTATTATATTTTATAATTTACCAATTTGTATTACTATTTATGAAATTTAATAATTTGTATTTAAAAATAAGCCAAGCATGGTGGTACATGCCTGTAGTCCTAGCTATTAGGAAGGGTGAGGCATGAGAACTGTTTGAGCCCAGGAGGTTGAGGCTACAGTGAGCTATGGTCACGTCAGTGCGCTGCAGCCTGGGCAATAGAGTGAGACCCTCTCTCAAAATAATAATAATTTTGGCCGGGCACGGTGGCTCACGCCTATAATACCAGCACTTTGGGAGGCCAAGGCGGGTGGATCATGAGGTCAAGAGATCAAGGCCATCCTGGCTAACATGGTAAAACTCCGTCTCTACTAAAAAAAAAAAAATACAAAAAATTAGCTGGGCGTGGCAGCGTGCACCCATAGTCCCAGCTACTCAGGAGGCTGAGGCAGGAGAATGGTGTGAACCCGGGAGGCGGAGCTTGCAGTGATCCAGGGTGGTGCCACTGCACTCCAGCCTGGGTGACAGAGTGAGACTCTACCTCAAAAAAATAAACAAAAATGAATAAAATTAAATAATAATTTAAATAATCTATGTAAATTTCATGAGCTCAGAGATCATTGCCTCTAACCCCAATATGTAAAAGAATACCTGACACTGAGTTGATGTTCAATATATATTGAGGAAGACTCTGTAGCAAATATATGAAGGTCACCAGCTCTTAGCAGGTAGCTGATAAAATGGCCCAGGAAAAGAATATACGGTAAGGACACAAGCAGCTAAAGGAAGATGTTATGGAACAAATGAAAGAGAAGGTTGTGAAGGAGTTTAGAAAGAAGCAACTGTATACACACTGGACAAACTGAGTCAGCCTCTTTGCCCAGCCACCCTACCACATCCACTGGGCTCACGAACAAAGTGGCCATGGTTGCAGGGATAGAGGTGATGTATAGGCTCAGCAACATGGACTTTCACTCACCAAGGCCAACCTGGCTATTATAGCCACTTCTGAGTGTTCAATCTGCAGCAGAGACTAACACTGATTCCCAGATGTGGCACCATTCTCCAGGGTAATCAGCCAGCTAGCTACCTGGTGGCAAGTTCATTACACTCAACAGCTTCCATTATGGGAAGGACAACTTTTTTTTCCTGGAATAGACCCTTACTTTCGATCTAGATATGCTTTCCCTGCATGCAATGCTCCTGCCAAAGCTGCTATTCATGGACTTACAAAATGCCTTATCTACCATCATGGCATTCCACGTAGCATTGCTTCTGATCAAGGAACTTACTTTATAGCAAATGAAATGTGGGGAATGAGCCCATGCTCATGAAACTCACTAGTTTTACAATGTTTACTAACAATCTGAAGCAACTGGCTTGACAGAACAGTGGAATGTACTTTTGAAGACTCAGTTACAGTACGAGCAAAGTGGCAATACCTTGCAAAGCTGAGGCAAGGTTCTCCAGGAGGCTGTATGTGCTCTCAATCAGTGTCCAAAAAATGGTGCTGTTTTTCTCATAGCCAGGATTCATAGGTCTAGGAATCAAGGGGTGGAAATGGGAATGGAAATTCTAACAACTCTAGTGTCACACTAGCAAAATTTCTCCTTTCTGCCCCTGTGACTTTATGCTCTGCTGGTCTAGAGGTCTTCATTCCAAAGGGAAGAACATTTCCATCAAGAAACACAATAATAAACCCATTGAACAGGAAATTAAGACTCCACCTAGCCACTTTGAGCACCACATGCCTCTGAATTAACAGGCCAAGAAAGGAGTTACTGTGCTGGCTAGGAAAAATTGATTCTGACTACCAAGAGGAAACTAAACTGTTACACTACAGTGGAGGTGAGAGAGAGTATGTCTGAAATACAGGAGATCCCTTAGGGTAGCTCTTAGTATTATCATGCCCTGTGATTAAAGCTAATGAAAACAACAATCCAATTCAAGTAGGATTACTAATGGCCCAGACCATTCAGGATTGAAGGTTTGAGTCACCCTCAGCAGGTAAAGAACCACAATCAGCTGAGATACTTGCTGAGGGCAAAGGGGATATGGATTGGGTCATGGAAAAAGGTAGTTATAATTACCAGCTATGACCATGTGATCAACTAAAGAAAAAGAAGACTGTAATTGCCGTAAGTATTTCTTCCTTGTTTTGCTAATAATATGTGCATATACATACATAAGCAAAAATCCATATGCAAATTTCAGAAAATATAATTTTCTTCCTTCGCTTATCACCTTATCTGATAACATAAGATATACTGACTCTGCATCATAATATTTAAGTATTACTAATGTTACATCATAGTGTTTAAGTTAACGAATATCGACGAGAGTAAATATCATTCAAGGATTTGGCATCTTCTTTTGAGGATAGGGTTGGTGCATTTCTGGTTGTATGCAAGACAGTTGTATTGTG